CTGACTAATACAGCCGGCTATATTTTATTGAGTCATAAGACGCAAGCCTAATTATTATTCAGCTCTGAGGAATAAAACCGCAATGACCGACAAATTGATTCCCTACGTATAAAACGTTTCTATAATTAAAAGTTTATTCACGATATTAACAGCAATCTTTTAGAATTTTGGATGAGATGACATATACTCAGTGACTACCTGTACAAGGCTTCGCCCAGAGAGAGAGTTCGTCATTACGACTTGAAGTCCCGACTTCGGTATTAAATCACTTGGTCAAGTAATCACCGACTTTGAAAAAGGAAAGTTCAGCGTGTTTTTGTCCCTGAATCACGATATTTTCATGAACATGTATGTGTATTATCTAGATTTTGAGAAAACTGTAGAAAGTACTTCAATTAAAAATGCCATCAGAGCCCAGGCTGATAGGTGTTACATGTACTTGAACAGCGGTCTTATGTTGCATTATCATGTGTGTTGTCTCAGTTTTCAGAGAAATCTGGAAATTGCTTCAGTTGATATCAAAATCAGGTCATTGACTAATATATTCAGTGCAGTTGATATTTTTGATTCAAATATTAGAATTCGATATTAAAAATATTTAACCTGTTTAACTTGTTTTTAACTTTTATGACCCATTGAATTTCAGGAAATGAACGTTTGAAACCTCTGCCGTTTCAAACTAACATAACCCTGGCTATTGCCAACAAATTCAACCAGGTATCACTCTTACGGGCGTGTTAGTGACATCGCCGTCATCGTTTCATAAAGATAGAAAGAGAGGCACTTACCAAACTCACTTTTTTGTGACGCAACACGTATCCTACAAGAGAGAGAGAAAACAACTTCTCTTTCCGCTTTAGAGTAGTGAGTGAGCTTACAAAGGATATATTCCGACGCGAATAGATTGAAGCTTCATTCTAATCCAATCTGTTCGGGAATCGACTTTCATCGAAGCAATTTTGAGAAAAATTTGGATTCAAAATGAGGATTCCTATTCAATACATTCTTCTTATGTTTATCAAGGCATTTCCATTGGTTAAAGGTCAGTATAACCGTGCATGCTTTACTTGCTTGCATTGGTTTTGTTTTTTGCGCGAAAAGAAATACTCATTTTTCGCTCCTCGGATTATTCACTTGCATCAGGCGGAATATTTATTTATTCCGGCATGGAAAAGGCCAGTATGGCGGTGTGAAAATATGGCAAACCTCGATTCCACGTTAAAATTTGAATTAAGAACGGAGAAAGAAATACTAACTCAAACTTCGTTAAACTCCAAAAGCGGAGGCCGCCATAGATATAAAAATAAATGATGATTGTTCGTATTCAATGTGTCGCCGCTCACGTACCGTAGATTTTGCTAAATGGCCGTTCCATCATCATAATATATATATATATATATATATATATGCGATACAACGCTTTGGCTTTAAAATCTTTGATGAGAGCGTAACCTCATACGAAATGTTTTAGTTTTTGAACCTAAATTTTTGGTATCGTAATATACACTGTAATCGTTATGTTCAGAAGAGAAAATTCGATCGTAGATTATCGGCAGGGTGGCCCATTGGTGAAGCGTTGGATTTGGATATTCTGGCATCGCGGGGTAGAATGTCGGGTTCAATTTCATACCCACCACCTGACCAAGGGTGTTGTAAAATGAATAAGCAATGCCGAATCAACAAGATTACTTCCCGTCTGAAATATTGCAGCTAATAACGTATCAGTTCGTTAACACTTTGAGTACTTTGAGTTTATTGTTCATTCCTGAGTTTATTGCTCGACAGGAAAAATTGATACGATTATCAGATTCTCGAAACTGAATCGCGGGTATTAATCAAATTTTATTAGCCCTTGCTTGCAGTAACGCTAAACATTATCAGGTTCCCCAAAGGTGGGCGTAATATTACAAATTCGATTCGACCAATCATCATCGAGGGAAATAGTGCGTTCACAATACGTGCGCAGCACTATAAAATTAAATATGGAATGACAGAATGTGCGCCATAGGTAAATAAATACTGAATTAGTCTCGTTATGAAAAAAGTACCTTAATTTTGGTTTATCTGTTTTAAACCTATTTCTATTCCTCGATTTCTAATTTTCTTTCAACAGGTGAGAAATGCTGGATGCCTATGGTTTGCGACGGGAAACCTACTTGGAGAAACGTTACGGTGAGACCCTTAGATATAGTTCCTTAAGCGTTTTAGCAGGGTTAATGTTGGTATCATTTATAAAAATAAAACCTTTATTTTTTAAATCTGGAAATAAAAATAATTAAATTGAACTTTTTAGCATTTTCTTCCATCTATAAGTTCTGAAAGTTTGAAACTTACTTTAATCGATACCTCATCACAGATTTTACCTTTACACTTTAATCCACGGGAACACTTTTTCACGGGGAAAACCTACTCAGCTAAGGCAATAGTTTAGCGATGTGCAGCTTTCATGCCCATACGTTTGAACGTTTCTCTCTTGTTCTATTTCAGACGGGACAGTGTACAAAAGAAGAAGAGAAGGCTTTGGAAGGTTCGTGTCCACAATATAATTTCCTTCCAAATACGTTTGCAATTTTCTTATATTTGTCAAACGATCTGGTAACAAACATGCCTTCAAACAATCGTTTTATTAGAAAAACATAAAATATTTTTATAAAATATGAAATATTTTATATTTTTATGGCGCTATTTTCAACAATCTTATCATAACGTATAGTTTAACAATATCCATATCATAATCCTATTTTTACCCAGAGAGAGAGGGGTACATATCTTCTTACAAAAAATTTACTGAATATGGACTGTAAAACTGGAGACTCAATTTAAATTCTATTTTTGTTTATGTTTTGCAGCTTTAACGACAAAACTAGACGGAATGGAAAGTAAGCTCCATCAATTGAAAAAGACGATGGAAGAATCAGAGACAAACTCACTGACGCCTTCTGTTGTAGGTGTCAAAAATACGACCACGCCCTGTGTTGTAGGTGTCAAGGAAACGACTACGCCCTCTGCTGTAGGTGTCAAGGAAACGACTACGCCCTCTGCTGTAGGTGTCAAGGAAACGACCACTCCTCAGGGTAAGAAAAATCTGTCTTTTGGTATCGCATGCACTAGAATAAATATTACAATAGTCCTGTTCAGTCAAAGTTAATGATACGGCGGTTTTGCGAATACGTTAATTTGGAAAAAATTGAAATGTATCCACATTGCCATTATTCAGTCTCTCAAAATTATAAATCTTATTATAAAGTTTTTTAACACAGGATACAAAGACAAGAAAACTTCTTCGGCCCGTATCTCAACCTTACCTGCTACATACCCGTGGTCATCTAAGGAAGCCTTTCTCTCTACTTTTCGCCCACAAACTACAAAAGTCGAACAGAGTACAGGTTGGTGTGGTCTTTTCTTTCTCGTTTTTTACTCAAAAAAAAATTTTTTACCATTTTCTCTCCGCTTTTTTGGTACGCGTCAAATATCTTAATTTGAAATTCCTCAGCACCTGAGGTCCATGACAGGAAAAGTTGCGATACTTTCAAGGAAAATATAACCTTATGTAATAGTTATTGTCTCGTCTTGTTTGGAGTGGGATTTAAATATCACGGAATGTATTTGAAAAATTACTTTGTTACTCTCCGCAAGACGCCATAATATATGACAGAGCAAAATTGCCTCAAGATGGCGTCCATAGTCTGGGAGTTGCCCGGCTTCATGATTTTTGGCGTTGCCGTTTTGCCGCGGACTCGAGAAATCTGGGTTTGGTATAGTTATATATGTATAGTATAGTACCGCAAGTAATTCCAGTAAGCGTAACATAACCATTTTCGTATGTGTTATTCCTGACCTTCACATGACTACATCATTCAAAAAGAATTCCTAAGAAACATCCGTATATTTTTGCGTGGGGGTTAGGAATACCATATGCAAAACTGGTTAGGCCACGAAGTACATGTGATATGGAACTATACAAGACTCAAAAAACATCGTTTCTCACGTTGTTTTTTGTTCACTTCCGATAGGTGATTTTTCCGGATAGGATTTACACATTAATTCCGGGAAAGCATATGATGGCTCATTCATATGACAAACCTTGGCCTCCCGTTCGCTTACCAGTCCATGTCAGTGTGGTATTAGTTAGCCAGTTATTTGTAACCGACGTGAACCACCCCGCGGCGGCTAGGTGTCCAACAATCTTCTCGCTTCTACCATCTTTGTATACGTCATTCCTAACCCATAAATGACTATCGATAATCTCACTACGCCATCTAAAAATCATAGTAATGTAATAAGAGAATTTAGAATACACGGACGTTCGTCAAAACGTGCATACGATCACCGACTTTGGCTTGCGAACCAAATCCGGCCTGTTGGATAATTTAAACTGGCCCATCTGATGCTGCCACAACCAAAATAAAACCAAATTTTGATGAAATTGGTCAAGGAATTTGTTGAGATTGCTATTTAATTTAGTTTTGACAAGAGGCTTTTGTGCTCCACTTTTGTTTTTGTAACGCTGTAGACATTGTTCATAAAATGTAACTTATTACGTCACAATCTTATGGCCCGCCAGTCTATGTGGGCAGAATTTTTGACCTTTGCCCTAAAATACCAATATTAAGTTTGCTCTTAAATCCACTCAATGCATTGTCACCATTGAAAGTCTGACATTCCGACATTTGATTATCTCTGGACTTCAAAGCTGAGTCGGAGATAAAAGTTGTTTCAACCCGATGTCGATTGTGAATTTCATCCGACTTCACAGCCCTGTTCAGAATAAAATAATATTCGGTTTACGCCAGAATACGAGGCTCGGACTCTAAAAAAGTTCTTTTGCGTTTTTCAGTCGATCTTACATGTGATTTTGAGTCTTCAATCAACCCTACATGCGGCTATACGAGAGTAAATGGGACATTTCAGAGAGAATACAGAAATAATGAAGTTACAGGTATTGTTTCTATATGAAACTCTTTCAGATGAGTCTGATTTACTTCCGTTTTTCATCCTAGGTTATGTTCTTGCTGGTAATGGTACAATCAGATCCTTACCCAAGGCTTGGGCTGGCAATGATGAACTATGCATGAGTGTCGACATAAAAGGGACATCTGATGGAGAACTTGTGGTCAAGGCTTACAATGGAACTGAAATGTGAGTAACTAACACTGCATGTAATTTTTTACCATACTATTTGCCGCTTTCACTCCAGAGAATGCTTTGTCAATGTACAGTGAAAAATTATTATTTTTATGAACCAATAAGGAAATTTGAAATTCAGTGTTTTAGGGGTTTGCAACCTGTCGCCATGCTGCGGGAAAAATGCGACCCACAAAAAAATTGTGCGACATACGAAATAGTGCCAGTTTTGACTAATTTGCGGCACGCGAAACAAATTTTTAATTTAGTTTAATCTGATACGTGCCAGTGATTCCAATCCCTTTGCGTGGCAAAATCTATACCTGGGTCCATTATATCAGGGGTGGCCAACCTGCTTTCGACCGCGATCGACTAAATTCTTCCAAATAGCTCGCGATCGACTGATCGATAATAAGTACATACACAAAAACGAACGAGTACTGAATTTGCAGATACATGCGTATATATAAAAACATTCCACCGCTGCCAATAAGCTTGGCTCTGAGGGCGAATTCCAAAATCGCCACGAAAATTTGTATTTTAAATTTAATTTGATTATGTGATTGTACCGGGAGTAAATTTTCATCATTTGTTTAAGATTCATTAGAATCAGATCTGAGGCCTGTCTAATTTTTAGTCATAAGTGTTGAAAACGATAATCGGCAAATTCATTCCCAAACTTTGACGGCGTTTTAAAAGTTACAACAGGCGCTGCATGAAACTGGTTTGAGGTTCATTATTTGGGGGTATGTTATTGAATTCACTCAACATCAGACGCGATCGACTACTCGAGACGTGGCGATCGACCGGTCGATCGCGATCGACGTGTTGGACACCCCTGCAATATATGATCTATGCCCGTGAACAACTCATAATAAAGTTTCAGCCCGCGGCTTCACTCAGTTATTTGTATATGGCCCTCTGTATTAAAGGTTGCACGCCCCGTTTTTAAATTGTTTTAAAAAAAAATTAGCTTTGAGGATCATCTGTAAACAGAATTACTGGCAACCACTGTAATGTGAGGAGCTGCTGAAACTATAAATAACTATAGCGGTGCATTCCACATTAGTAAGTACTGATTGGTGGGGAGACATGGGGCAATTAAAGTTGATGCGCTCGGAGGAAAAGCTAAATAATTGATTCCATATAAATGAGGTTCCTGGAGAAAGCAGAATATAGCTAATTTGGATTTATTTTGTAAGTCTATGTGGATACAGCAATGATGTGTTTTTTTAATTTTTAGCAAAGCAATCCGGTCGTTTTCTGCCTCGACTACCTGGAAGATCGAGAAATTCATTTTAAAGAAAATAAACTCTGCAGATACCGAGGTTTGCAACACTTTTGTTATTGAGAATCTTTCTACATCAGAGTTGCTTTGGATGTGAATCCCATCACATACTATGCAAACGTTTTGGCGCTCCAGGCGTATCTGTATCAATAAGGAGTCAAGTAATTTTGTTCGCCTATCTTACACAATGTTGTGTAAAGTAAACCTATGGAAAGGGGGTATATCACTTGGCTAACATAGACAGTTCCCGAACTCGTAATAGAACTAAAATAAAAAAATATGGGAATAAAATATTGGCCTAAGCTAACCTGGTACACATACTACGGGGATCTCATCTCTCATGGGCGTTTGGTTGAAATTGGTAGGGCTTAGTCTTGTTTGATCAGCGTGCAGAGGGTTGTAATCATTTCTTTGCATAATTGGAGTTTCTCTAGAATTCCTTTACAAACTGGGAACACATATTAGACGTTTTATCAACTTTCCTCTACGCATGTATAAACCTTAAATAAATATCTTTTGACTCAATGAGAATCCATTCAAGGACTGACTCGGAATTGACAAAAAATTCTGATTCTAATTACCCTACTTTGAGTCAAACAACGGAAACCAAAATTTTGTGACGATAATTGCATGCCTGTTGAAAATGATTAGTAAACGCAATGCATTCGTGATCTGTTGGAAAATCGTGTACAATTATCACATTCAGAAATCCGGAATCCAGGTTGCTGCCTTCGTGGTTAGAAAGTTCAATTCCGACTTTTCAATGAAAGCACTTTCGACTTCCACTCTAGACTCGCAGCCCTGCTAAAACTTCAATCTTTTTTTTTTATTTCACGCAGTTCCAACTCGAGCTGGAGGCATCCAGGAATGTAGAGTTAGACAACATAACAACTTTGAACTCTTCTGAATGTTATGGTCTAGGTAAGTGCATCAATTTCTATATAGTCAATGAAAAAGTTGTTTAAGCTTTGAATGTTCTCTCCGATCTTGTTAGGTTCAAACCACATTTCAGTTGAGTTTAGAAATTGGGCAGAATACGCCATTAAAAATACGAAATCCTTGAGAAAACGTCAATATACTTCGGCTTGCCTTTTTGGATGACGTAGTCAGGTGGCGGTTCGGAATAACACATGCCAAAATAGTTATGCTACTCCCACTGTAAGTACTTGTGGACTGTGGTACTAAACTATACCAGGCCCAGATTTTTCGAGGCCCGCAGCAAAACGACAGCACCAAAAAGGCATAAAGTGAGGCAGCGCTCTATGGACACCATTTTGAGGCAATTTTACTCTGCCCTATATTGGGTGCTGAAATGTTTAGGCCACGCCCATTAAAATTAGATGTGATATAAAATAGACCTATATGAAGGAGGCCATTCAAATAGCGACATACATCCAATAGATTATTCTTAACCTTCTGTCTATATGGTAGCCCAATAGCCATGTATGAGGGAGGCCATTCAATTAGCGATCGGGCGATATATCCATCGCTAACAATCTCGTCGTTGTGGATAAAAAAGTTTTTAACCGACATTTTTTGAAAAATTTATAAATCTTATCTTCCATACATTATAGTTCAATAGCTTAGTGGCTTAGTAATTTGCCCAGAAAAACGTTCAGTTTAATTCTTATTGAGTTTACGTGACCTTTCTTGAAGCAAATAAGATGACGTATGGTCAAAACTACTAAAGGGCTCATGATCATATTATTGTAAAAAACTACAAAAGACAATTATTCTGAATTAAATATATAAACTTATTAATTAAAACGTAGAAATAAATATTGTCCTCAATAATAGTTTCATAAATTTCTGACTTCAAACTGTGGTCTTTGTTTCAGAATGTGGCGTTGTTTATAATTCCAAATGTTTTCGAGCGATCCTTAATGATGTGAACAACGTCTCATTAAGCGTCGCTGAATCTATTTGCAAAAACAACCTAGCTAATTTTTATGACGTCACACACTACAAATTGCTTCAAGATTATTTACGATCACTGATTCCAGATGGGGAAACATACATTGTTTTTCGAACAGGAATGACTTACGAGGTAGGTCGAGTCTGAATCATGTTGCTTATGCGGCCATTCATGAACTCATCATAAAATGAGGGCGATATTATTTCTACAATACTGTGTGCTATTACATTTCATCTTGAGATTAAACCCATATAGCTTTATCATAGGATAGTAGTTGAAATCAAGCCATTTAGAACACTGACTACTCCACACTGGTATCAAATTTGACTTCTTTATTGGATTTGAAAACTTCGTTTGCCAGCGTTTTTCAATTTTTGTCAAAAACTTCTTTTATGTAATGTTTCCGGCTAATTCAACAATTTGATTCCAACACCAGTGGAACGCTTCAACTTTACAGCTCTGATACTAAATCAGAGAAGACTAATCCCAAATAATTTGATTTATGCGTCTATTTCATTCAATTCACATCCACCAACTGTAATCACTGGAATGTGATTGAGCGAAATAATCACGTCACGCTTCATTCAGTTTCTTACTGGAGACCAAATAAGATTGTTTTGCATTGTCAGATCACACGACAAGACAAGGTTTAACCATACTCAGCTATATTCCAAAACTGCCATTTGTTATATTTCTAAACATATTTTATATTTCAACAGAACAGTCTGCTGCAGTCAACAACGGACCAAGCTATATCTCTGCCAACTGAGTTTTGGCTTTCTACTTATCCGTCTTCCGTTGCATCGCGGACAACTGTTGTTGTAGGTGTCGATCAAAACCCGGAAGATAAATTTCAAGGGACTTTTAATGTTTCTCCTTCCTATGAGTATAATGGAGCCATCTGTGAAAATGAATTATAACTCTGTTCATTGATTGATCGATAAACAAAAAAAAAATTCAAACATGAAGCCTATATGTTGAACCGATGCCATTTAATTCTCAGTTATTCTATTTGTCTGTCTGTCAAGCTTTTTATGGGTCGGAATTTCAATAAAACTGCATTCATTGTTAAATTTCCTCCGAACAAACTATTTTTTATTTCTTAGATGTGTTCAAGAATCGTTCAAATTTACAACAATTAATCAAATCCTGTCTGTAATTTTTTAATATATTGAAAGTGCTCTAGCTATTCTTTCCAGGGAATTATTATTGATGATAATTGAATAAAAATTTAGAACGGTATATGGGTTTGAAGTTGTCAGGATCAAGTACAAAAATAATGGAGGATTTCAAAGTTTACTTTTTTAGGCATTAAAAGGGTTAACCAAATTTGTTTCTGAGTGAATGTAAATAATCTTGAAATGTTGGCGATTTGGTTTATTCAAGTATATATTTTATGTTCCAAAAATTTTCGCAAATTACAAAACTGTTTGATACTTTCTAAATACAGCTTCGTATCTGTTACCTCTAAAAATTTAAAAATAAAGCTTTCTTCAGTGGAAATTTACGAACGAACATTAAAATTGACGTTCCTGAAGTATGAGTACCAATATTGAGGTAACTAATTTTGTTCGCCTATTTTACATTAATTTGTTACTTTAAAGGGACTGTAACCTCTGGACAGAGGGATATTCACTTAGCTAACACTGACAGTTGCCAAGCTCTTAATAGAAATAAAACAAGGAAAATCGGAATACAATTATGGCCCAACCATAACCTGGTACGAATACTTCTGGAGTATCATAAAGTTTTTTAAATTAATGAGGAAGTTTCGACTTATTTTGAAACCATTGAAAATCCACAATTTCGACAACTTCAGACAACCGGCTCTTGTGGGAACTTGCCTAATTAACTTACAAAATACCGCATGCGTACTGAATACTGCTGCACGTAATGATGTGTAACCTTGCGGGATGTTTTTATAGATGGAATTCCAAATTAAATCCCGACTGGTTCGCAATGACTTTGCATTTATTGCTATGGCTAGTTATAACATTAGTTCCCCCGAAACTCAAGCGGGGGTAACGTTCTCAGAATTGTAGTTTTCGAATTACGTTACGTGGTACATTTTTTTAATCTTCAATCACGCACAATATTGAATTCATGGCGGAATGTTATATAAAACGTTTAACGACCGACGCTTTTTAACAGTACTATTAAAAAGCGTCAGTCGTTAAACGTTTAATTAGTATTTTACCGTTACCTCAATACTGTTAAAAGCACCAGTCTTTAAACTTTAAATAGCATTTCAACGGAACTTCAACATCCTTAATATTTGATTTCATTGAAGGTATTAGTTTGAGCAACCCCGTGTAACTCCGGAAATTTCTTCCGATGTTGAATTCGCCGACACGCTTGACTTGGGGCTGACAGATTATTATTGCTTCGAAAATCATCGTGAGACTTTCTGCGTTTTTCTGTGTTCTGACGGCGCTGTCTCGCGTCAAGATTAAGTGAGTGACTTATAAATATTCAAGTTAGTTGTGCACATGGAATATTACACGTTATACTTGACTATAGAACTGATAGAATGCAGATTACAAAACAAAATAGAGGAACAATCAATTGAGTGGGAAGACCCTAGGCAGCACTTGAAAGCACATTGACAGTAAGATTTTAAATTCACTTTAAAGCTCCCATGAGTAGATGTAGTCTAGTAGAGAGCCGCTTTGTGCTACGATTGTTCAGCATAAAAAAAGAGTAAGTTATAAATGTTTTTATATGTACCCAATACAGTAATGATTTGTCAAGAAATGTAAATTTTGATAAGAGATATGTGTATTTTCGGATCATAATAAAGTTGCAGTGTGAGGATTTATGCTGTGTGACCAAAGCAGTAAGCAAGAATATAAATTGACTGATGGGTGATTGAAATTGTGACGTCTGTATGGAAAACATAAATTAAACTCACATATTTTAACTTCAATTAATTAGTGTTTTATGATGGAGTTCTACTGATCTTTTTCCGAGACTCATTCTGTCATTGTATACAAAGTCACCAGCTGCATATTACAATATAAGAGGTGTTTTACGTTTGCCATGATAATCCATTTTGCTTGATTTCAGGCTAGTACTAATAACTATTTTCACATAAATTGGATACCCATTAATGCTATTATCTAAACATGGCTTCAACATATATATATAAATATATTTATAATTTTGGATGTGCCAAAAAGTTTTGAATTATTTTGTCGGCTACGGCAAAATCCACCATATTTATTGAATGCATTAATTTTTCTCCAGGAACCGTTACATTTTTTTAATTCCAATTTGTTTTGTGTGGTATTCACATTTTTGTTTCAAATAATACTTTGTCAAAGTGGCTGTTATTGGAATCGTTTAGTGGACATAACGATCGTTTCAAAATTTTGTTGTTATTGTTATTGTTATTTGTCTCCGTCTCCATTTTTAAAAAAATCGCCTTTCTCTTCGAATACTGGACCAATTGATTTGAAATTTTCAGTGGCTAAAGATAAAATTTTACTCCTATTACTTTTTTTTTTCACTATGACGTCATCGAAATTATTGCCATTGGGTGGCGCTACGTGTCCATATATTTGAGCATAGCTCTCTTGTACTTATATATAAACACATACATGCTTGCTTAAATGGTAGACAAGATTCAATCGTTGTGGGCAATTTATTTCAAAATATCGTAACTAAAATATAAATTTTTGCAGACGTCTCGAAACTCAATTTTTAGGAATGATTTGCTGTCACCAGATGGGGTTTTGGCAAGGAAACACATCTAGAGGGAATTTATAAAGATATGTCTAAAAAAACATTTGAAACAGCCATGTAAACTAATAGACCAACATGTTTAACTCAATAGCTTGATAACAATGTCTGTTAAATATTAAGCACAGGTATAGCACAAAGAACTGTTTTGGGTATTAATTCATTTGTATTTTCCTATTAGATCTATCTCCTATTGAGTATTTAAATACTTGGATCATGATTATTATTTCTGAAATTGAAGCAATGCCAAGTTTTGCAAACTGCAAAATACCTTTTTTGCAGTGGCGGCGCGTCAATAGAGCCAACCGAGGCAAGGCCCCGGTTGTTTTTTCGGTATAATAAAAAATATTCGAAAAATACCTCAATATCGGTTGCACAGACTGTCTACACTAGCCATATTCTCCCGACATGCTTCATTTTTCGCTCGCAAAGCCTTCGCCGAACGTGGACGGGACGACGCCGATTTTGCCTTGGTTGCTCATTGTATATCGTATTATCTCTTTTATCTTCCACTCGCCGCGTCTGTCTCGTTTGTTTTCTGTTTCTTTTACTAAATCATCGGGGCCGATCGGGGCTAGCCCCGAAATTATGACGACACAATGCCGACGTTTCTTACAACAACTAGTTGACATATTCACGCATTCCTTCTCGTTCGTTGGTTGCTTGAAGAGTTGATAGTTTCCTCGCCTTCGTTTTTGTCGCTTGTTTCGCTATTTGAATCAGTTGGAGACCTTTAGTCCATTTGCTTTCGATTTTCCACATTCCTTTTGAGCTCCTCACTTCTTTCCGGCTTCGCATTTCTTAGCTTTAGACCTCATAATGAATAAGGTTGATGCACTACTTTGCACTCCGTTTTCGCAGCTACCGCTGAAACAAAAATTAGAGGTACAACGTCTTGGGCCTTATCAACCAAAAAATTGTTCACTGGAACAATCCCATGACGGAGGAAATCGTCGGCGTACATTCTGCGCCGAAACTTGGTATAAAAAACACGAATGGTTGTGTTACAGCGAGGACAAAAATGCACTTTTTTGTTTTTATTGTCTACGGTTTGCTACCACCCGTGACTCACGTTGGTGTAAATTTGGTTTTAGAGATCTTAAACATCATTCCGAGCGTGCCAGGGATCATCAATCTTCTATGGAGCATCTGGACAATGCAGTAAAATACCGAACATTCGGAAATGTTAATATTGCAGCACAGTTGGATGAAGGACGCGCGGTTTCTATTCGTTGGCACAACCAAAACGTCGCGAAAAACCGCCATGTTCTCGGTCGATTGATGAGATGTTTTGAAGTTCATTGGTTGTCACGAGCTGTCCCTCCGTGGGCACGATGAACGGGCTGGCTCTTCTAATAGAGAGGTAATTTTGGATATGGTGGAATACACCGCATCCCTAGATACAGTATTGAGAGATCATCTTGATGCCGCAACTGTTTCGAAAGGGACATCTAAGGATATCCAAAATGATTTGCTCGACTCAATGTATAAAATTTATTTACAACATTTGGCTCTGGAAATTGAGAATTGCCAGTTCCTTTCGATTCAGTCTGACGAGACAACTGACATCACGTGCGTTTCCCAACTGGCTGGCTTTTCGGTTTGTGAAAGATGGTAAACCTACCGAGAGATTTCACAGCTTTGTACCAATCGTTGATCGCACGGCTTGCGGGATATCGGCTGTACTGAAAGAAGTGTTACAGCCTTACAACGCGAAGTCAAAATTGATAGCTCAAACTCATGACGGCGCGGCAGTCATGAGTGGGTCGAAACATGGTGTTCAAGTTTATATAAAATAAAATTTTCCTGATGCGCATTTTTTACATTGTTATGCACACCAATTTAACCTCGTTATTAAAAATATGTGTCTTGATACCCCTCTCGTCCGTATATTTTTTGCAAATGTTTCGGGGTTTTCTTCATTTTTTTCCGTTTGGCCGAAGCGCTCCGACCTCCTTCGCCAGATATGTAGCAGCCGTCTCCCAGCTTGTGCACCAACACGTTGGAACTTCCAATCACGCGTGGCGTGTCCGAAATTAGGTCTGAGCTCATTGAGTGTTTCAATGGCAATCAGAGCTCTCCGGTTTGGGACGAACGCTCTGTGAGGGAGGCGGCGGGTCTAAAGCGTCTGCTAGAAGATGGTGAGTTTTCATTTTTTCTCGCTTTTTTCTCCACAATA